ACTAGATTCTCAGGGTAAATTTTGTTCATCAATGTTGGTTGTGTGAAAGATTTAGCTTGAACAAAATGGTTAGTTTTGATCTGATTATAAAAAGAAACTTTGACATACATAAAATTTAAAACCTATTTAAATTACACAAACAAGATTATTTTCCTGGTGGACTTATGAAATTCCTGTTTTTTTCCCGGTGAAAATAAATTCCCGATTTTTTCCCGGTTTTTCTGGTTTTCCTGGTTCACTTGCCACCCTGCAGATACCTGCTGCCAATTTGGGATGCGGGTAAAACCTGCATCAAGGCTTCCGTTGTTTTCATTCAACTTCCTCACTCCAGAACCAGGTTCCCGTTTTCACGGTATCAATCACAACGCATGAACATAAATCACGTTTGCCAGAACAAGATCATGATTTTCCGAACAGAGTTCACTATTCTATGACTTTTGTTGACTTTGCAGGCGTTACGTTTATTTTGTGGAAAAATGTTCACGATTTCAAGATTTTTATTCATGGTGTACTTTCGTAAACGAAAAATTTACTTCTTCCGAAAATCGTGACTGGAGGTTGACGAATTTCGGAACGGATTTTTTCCCGTGTGGCAGAATTTCTTCTCAATCGGTCAAGTTGTTATCGAGATGGCATCAGATCCACCAACAAATTTTGTACACCGTCGTGGAAAATCCGACTGCGTCCCACAGATGGATCGGAAAACACCTGGGAATCCATCATTCGACGATTTCCCGGGTGGTGAAGTCATTCAAGGAGACCCAGACGACCCAGCGGCGGGCAGGCTTCGGCAGAAAACCGAAGACAGCTGACCCGGTGAATGCCAGGAAGGTGTTGAGTCTGAAGCATCGGTCGAATCTAGGACGATGATGGCGGACACAAAGCAATTTCCGAAGTAGGCGTTTTACGTTGCCACATCACGGTTTGTCGTTCCTAAGGAGGTAAGGAAGAAGAAGGTGGACAAATTCGCCAAAAATTCCTGGTTTGGCAGGCCATCTGTGGGAGCGGCAAGATGAGCCAGCTTTACATCACGACGGGTACCATCAACAGGCAAATATACCGGGACGAGTGCCTCCAGAAGCGCATCTTACCCTTTCTCTGATCTCACGGAGGCGAGACGCTGTTGTTTTGGCGCGATTTGGAATCCGCGCGACCGGTGTTAGACTGGTACAGAAACAACATTGCAATGTTGTTTTTGTACCAAAAGACTTCAACCATAACCTATACGAAATATATCACATGCTACCTAACGTATCGACTGCTTACAAATATTAGTTCAATTTACTGTAATTACTTCGATTACTCCTAAAAAGTGTCCTTAGAAGCCGGGCACGACGATAGTATGCATATAATTCTATTAATACAGTCACTCTACGCCAATCTACTACAAACTATTTTACAAAACGCTGCAAGAACTGAAAAATGTGTTGCAAGAATGACAGAAGGTTGTAACCTAACCATTGTGAAAAAAACAACATCAATATCATCAGTTCTGTTAGGATAACTAGCTCCACTTTGTAAAATGAACTATTTTCAAAAACGCATTGTACACCGCCCTACTTGCTTGCTTTAAGGGGGTATTCCCAATCTTTTGCCTTTTTTCGGCCTGTTTTTCAATTAATTTTTTTTCAAGGAAAATGAATAGTAATGCGCCTAACTCTTTGGGATTCTTGTTTATTGAACATTAAAGTTTACAAATAAATTTTTTTTCGACATAAAAAAGACATTATTGACGTCACAAAATGGCGACAAACAGACCCCTGTTCGCCGCAAACGCCTGGACGGGCGAAGACTTTTCTCTGGAACGGCTTCATCTGAAACAGATTTCGTGATGAAATTAATAATCTGCATAAGATTCTCTGGAGCTTCTCCCGTTGACAGCAAAAAATCTTGCAAATTAACAAAATGGCGGCCATATGAAAAAACAGGCGATTTTTAGCCCGCTTTTTTGCAACTTTAAGGTGCTTCAAACAATGGTAAATGTTAATATTTTTGGCTGAAAGTGGGAGAAGCTCCAAAGAATTTAATAAGGAACAAAATGCGCAAAGATTCAAGTCAATATCTCTTATAGTTTCTGAGAAAAATCTTCGCCCGATAAAAAAATATGGTTTCGAGAAAAACGCGTTTAAAGTTTTGACTTTAGTTAAAACCATTTGGGGGTTCTTACCATTAGTCAGCTATGCCTGGACACCGAATTCGCTGATCGGAAAACGGCTTGGGGGGATGAAAGTATATAGTCTAAAGTACAAAAAAACGTGAAAAAAAAAATTTGATTTTTTGAAAAAAAAGATCGGGAATACCCCCTTAACACGGACGATAGAGGATAGAATGTTGCTGTCTTTGACAAAATTGGTCAGAAGACCTATTAGATGTTTAGTTCAGAATTCCATCAACTGGGGGAGTTATTAGTGTGAATTTTAAATTACGATTCGGCAATTTGGAACTTTGAGTTTGCCTTAAACTATCATTTTCATTTGTTTGGATCTGCCGTTACTTTTGAAATATTGACTAAACAAATGTTACGTGGAGTATTCACTCGGCTGTCGACAGAAGCAGACCACTCTAGATGTGTGTCACGCGATCGTCTGTTTACTCCGCAGTAAGCATTGTGCAGTCCTTTATCAGCAGTTCTTTCAGTCGATGCGTCGTCGACTTAGGAAAGCAACCGTTTCGTGATGAGTGTGTGAGTGCTGACCACGTTTTGCGTCCATTACTGCAATGGAAGCACTCTGCCTCCCGTTGGCGATACTGCCATACAATGAAACCACTGGAAGCGGCTCCCGTTCTGATGGGGGAGGCTTACTGGATAGCGAAAGATAAAGTGTTTATTGGGTTGTACCTTTTGACTACAGTTTTAAGATGTATTGTATAGTGAACAAGAATCCTCGGCTCCGTAATGTTAATTCAATTGAGCCTTATCAAATAAATTGATGATTGGGGTCTGTACGTGGTTTATTACGGGCCCTTATTGAATAACAATGTTCGCTATTTGAAAGATTATTATTAGAACACAGTTAAAAGACAAACTGAAAATTTGATAACTTGGAATCAGCTGCACTTCGATGTATTTTAAATCAATTTGTACATGAAATGCATTTGCTAGTTTAAAAACAAATATTAATGAAATAGGGTAGAGAACTACTTCGGCCTAATCGTCCATTTTGGGCCTATCGTGCAGAAAACAAAAAATTATTCCATGATTTTTGAGTTAACAAGTCAATTATGAGTTTGGTACGATACTTCAGTTAATAAGCTACCGGATGAAGTCAATGAGAACGCGTGATATGAAGGTTTGCACCCATAATTCACAAAAACAAAAGAAGCGGAGCGACCAAATCAATTTTTATCTTCATTCGATAGGCCGAAGTGAATTCATTTGCGGTTCAATGGCGTTTCAATGCGTTAGGCCGAGTTTAGAATCCGTAGGCCGAGCTTGGCGTCAAGAAGCAGTGTTAGACTTTTGACAATATCTCAACGATTGGTTCCTCTTTACCAAATCTTACGGTACGTATAGAAAGGTAAATAAATTTGGAAGCCATCAGTAATAATAACATTCCGTTTGGTGCTAAACTGCGCTAGATTAAGAAAGACTAAGTGCGAGTTGTGCTTAATAGGCCGAAAATGGGGTAGTTAACCCTACCGTAAGTTGAGTTAAAAATTGGATAATGAATTGCTGATTTGGAAACTAAATTTATAATTATTATATTGCGGTTGGACACGCTTAACTTTCTTCACGCACACTGAGGCAAATGGACGTAAGAATTACATAAGATTTACGTATGAATTTTAGCCACAAGAAATCAGTATGAATTTCATTGATTTGCCTTATGAAAAATAATGATGACAAAAATAACAAAACGGAGCAGACTGGAACCGAAGAACCATGGACGTTAAGATAACAAGGCCTATGTGTTGACCACTCGCCTTTCAATGCTTGGAAAAATTAAATAGTTATAGGCTAAGAGCTACCTCATGTTAGACGAAAATCATTCATAAGTCACGCTTATGAAATTCATATGTGCCGTTCGCAAGTCGAGTCTGATGAAATTCTTAAGTTTATTTGCCTCAGTGCATTGTTTTTGCACAGATTCTTTATTTTATGCGGTTTTTTACGCGGGTTTCTGGATTCAGCCGGTGTTTTTACTCAGTTTACGCGGTATGTATATGTATTCCATGCGATAAAGCGACGACCAATTACTTCTTTGGACGTTTAGACAAATCACGTTAAATTAAATTCCTTTGGTAAAAATTCGATGAATACAATTATTATATTATAGCTTATAAACTATAATGCTTGTTCAGAAGCAAGTCAAACAAGATAGTTTTGAGCTGGTTCAGACCGTTTGTTTTTTTTCCTTGATTTGTTTTCCGTGCTGAGCACCAATGCTACCGACGCCAGGAAGGCAGCTCCCACACCTGTGGACCCTACATATCGACCCATCAACTCATGAACCGGGGACCAACGGCTTTACTTCCCTTCCGAAGGAAGGAGTGATCAGAGATGTTATGCCTCAGAACATCCCGGCGGCGCCGGCTGAGATTCAACCCAGGCCTGCTGGGGTGAGAGGTAATCACGCTTACCACTACACCACCGGCGCCGTAAGACCGTTTCTTTAATTAGATTTGTAATTAATACTTCTTGTAGCATTTGCTCAGCAAGAACCTAGCTTTAATTTGTAATTCTGATCACTGTACTATCATATTCTAGCTAAATATACCTTGTCACCCAGTTCCCGTTCGTCTATTCCAAGATCAAGCAAACACCTAATCAAAACAACGACGAGTCAGTCCGAATGGGGGACAACGCAAAAACGAAAACTTCCTGCTCAGTAGAATTGATTCACGAGCCAAACAGCACACGTTCCACCTTAAATATTGACTATAGATATGTGCCCAAACTAGCATGTGCTGGCTACAATGTTGTCACCGCTGATTTCCTTTTCTTCCATCATCAATTGCCACCATCATCATTATAATTTTATTTGCTCGCTGGTACTTACGCGACCGTCAGCTGTGAAGGTACTTTCCTGCTCTTATTGACCAATTTTTATTCGCTTACTCCTCCAGACGATCACTATTGCAATAGATGTATCAGCGTTACAACGCGTTCACTTGGTCTTTGTTCGTCTGCTCTCTTTTTGCCATCCGGTTTCCCAAAATGACAATGGCTACGAAGCTACAAGCGGCTGATCGGTGGCGATGACGAATAAAAATTAGAATTATTTATTTGTAAACACCCAATGCTGCTGATTCGATATCCTCCGTGTTCAATAATTATATTCACATAAGCACCGTTTTATACTAATACGTCCCACTGGTAATGCACGAACACAGGTACATGCATATTAGTGACAAAAATAAAACTGTGTCGTTCAAACGTTAGTTGGGAATCGGTTTCTCCTTGTTGATAAGCTGTCTCGGGTAATCCTACTACGTCATAGGTCCTGATAATGTTTTCGTTGCTCAAGGATAACCTACTGCACCTATTGCACATGACGGCGTTAGATTTTCCTCAATTTGGTCACTAGTAGTTGTGGGGTTCGTCGACAGCAGCAGGCAGTCAATTTGTTTCCTTTCTTCTCCTTGCACAGACGCACATCCGAACTAAAACACACACTTTTTAGGCCTCTGTGTTGTGGTTCTTCCAGATAAGATTTGTTTAATTGTAAGCTTATTGAATCTTTCTACATAAGCGACATTTATTTAGACCTGATGTGAACATGCGTTGTTCATTAAGTATCATCCGATTAATTCAAATCAACACGGGTTGTTTCTCGTTTATTCCTTGGTGCTGTAGAAATACTCTGTATGCACAACCCTGTCGAGTCTATTGTTTCTAGCAATGCGACCGATAACCAGCATCATTGTTTTGATAACTCTATGAACTATGAATTAATTGTCCATTCATTGATTCAAAACCACACAATCACCTCAAGATTACAAATCACAAAAATAAAAGACGCAGATGGCGTTTCGCCCCTGCTAAGTAGCATGACACTGAACCATGCACGACCGTCGTGTGTGTTGTGTAGGTAAATATCCGTCCATTCCACTCGTCCACAAAGCAACCAGTTAGCGAGTGCGAGCGGGATAGAGTCAAAACCTTCCGCAATCCGGCTGTATACATACAGACGGGGAGGAACACCAACGAGGGAACGAAGGAAGCAAGCAGGCAGGCAGGCAGGAAGCACCACCAGTAGCAGAATCACAAAAGATGGAAAATATTTTTTTCACTTGAATATTCCGACCGAATAAACGCACTACCGAACCAACCAACTATCGCAAAGGGATCCCCCGGACGTAAACTTACTTTTGAAACTAATTTTAAACCGGAAATCCCCGTCTTCAGGAGGATATAAGTCGATTTTTATCGCGCAGAAATGACACCACAAACTTTGCTTTTCAAAATGGATAGCGAGAAAAATAAATTATGAACCATATCCAAGGCGCAAGCAGTCAATACAGCAGTGCTGTCGGATTGTCAGATTTATTTTTAAATTAACGTCGACAGATTTTTTATGGATCATCATACATTGCTTGGTTGTTTTTTACTCGGTTTTTTAGTGCTATATTACCATAGAGGTATCTCTAAAGTGGACCCTACACGATTACTTTTATTGACAATAATCGTATTGTCAATACATTCTATATTGACGTCAATATATCGAGATTGACAATATTTCTGAATTCACATCATCAATATTATTGTCAATAATTCCCCTTCGCGTCAATCGTGTAGGGTCCACTTAAGACTAGAAGGTTCCGAAATAACGTGCTCAACTTTTTGGCTCAGCTCTGGTACTCTCTTCGGTCCCAAGCTAATCGATTCACCCCTCGAAACATAGGAAAAATCAATAACCCCTCATTTTATCTGTCAAACTTTCATAGCGAATCAAAACAAACATTGCGTAGTACTATAATTTCGACTAGAATGGGGTACTTTAATCGTTTGCTTGGGACCAATAGGCTAGTCAAGTAGTGAGCCAAGTTAGAATCGTTAGTTTCGTATTGATTGTTGATATTACGGCCCTTATTACGAGTGTCACTTCACGGAGAAAATAAAGTGAAGTGACCAGTTGTCACTCACGGTGAAGTGATTGCCGTGTAAATCAAATGGGATAAATAATTATGCAAGGATTTCCGTAAATACAATTGAACAAGCACAAAAGAAGACTAAGTATTAATACATTACATTTACAATGGTATAATATTATTTCTTAATCTATTTCATGCGACTTAAAACCTTTTCATATTATATACCTATACCTATTGTGCTTTCTAATAAACGAGAATTGATGGTTCGATGTCATACATACTTTTTGGCTTGAAAATGCGATAGCGCAAGGTTGCGATATGGATATGATTTATTTCTATGCATAATTTTAACTAAAGTGATAATAATCTTAACATGGCATTTACGTGATAAAGTTGTGGCCTAAAATATTATAATTCTTTTATTGCAACATTACTGTCAATGGAGGTCCCAAATTATCCGGATGCTCCATACTACATGGGACAGTTATGCTTCCACCGGCAGATTAACATTAAAAATTCACGATTTTTTCATACATTTCCAAATTTGAAATAAGCATTTACTTTAAACGGAATATACTGCGTATGGGTAACCATAAAATAAATTATGAACGAACCATAAAACTTTATGGTTTATGATAAATAATTATGCGGGTAATTAAATTGAATTTTAATTAAATTGAATTTTAATTAAAGTAAATTAAAATTTCATGCACGATACAAAACGATTTATTTTTAACAACTTACCAAAGTTGCCTGCACTGCATGCAGAACCCAAACAAAGACAAGCAGTGTGAGTGAAGTAGCATGTTAAACACTGATGCGAAAGCGAGATAACACAGTGCATAAAGCTGACAGCTGATTTTGATCGACTTTCGTGTTATGTCAAATTATTGACAGATAATCTCGGCGAAACCTGTCTCCCTGTGGCTGAACTTATACACTGTCACAGAGAATTCTTCCGAGAATGAGTCACTTTTACTCAGTTGTTTTAGAAATGTGTGTGAACCATTTGCCGAGTTAAATTTAACTCGTGGTTATAAGTGATATTTCGAAACTTATTTTCTATGTTCGAAAATCCCTGTGCTGTCGATCGACCGGTTTTAAAGAAGAACTTAGCCAAGGTTGTCGAAACTTAACTTCTTGTCTGTCAGAAGATCGGTCAGAAGTAACCACGCTCGGATAGCAGGGTAAATCGATAACTTTCCATTTGTCAAATTTTAACCAAAAGTTAAAATAATCCACCAAATGATTAAGAGCCGAAACAACCTATACTCAGCTAATGAACTGTGTTAGCGCTACTTTGGAAGCATTTTCACAGTCAGCTAGGTATATTTTTAGACGTGTGCAGTTTTACAGCTTTTACTCTGCTCCTTTACAAAGTTGAAATCACTAATCGAGAAAAGTGATCCATGTTCACTATTATCAACAATCAATACGAAACTAACGATTTTAAATTGGCTCACCACTTTACACAGCAAAAAAAGTTGTTGAATATTACATCGAAACTGCTGCAACCAGGTCAATCCATCGGTTGTGTAATATCACATTGTACGATGTACATCGATTTTGCGAACAAAATTACATCCATTGATGTAATATTGTATCTGCTTTTTGTTATTACATCATTATTTCATACATCAGCTTGAATTACGTTGATCGATATTACATTTTTTTTTGCTGTGTAGTAGCCTATTGGTCCCAAGCAAACGATTAACGTACCCTATTCTAGTTGAAATTCTATTACTACACTATGTTTGTTTTGATTCGCTATGAAAGTTTGACAGATAACATCAGGGGTGTGTGGATTCATGTAGAACATGCAGGGGTGAGTGAAATAGCTTGGGACTGCTTGGGACCGTTGTTCTGGTACTGAGTGAGCCAAAAATAATAATGATTTTATTCGGGACCCAGTGGTCTTAGAGTTACCTCTATGCTATTATTAAGCCTCTACTCAGCGATCTTGTTGTAGGAGGGCATGTAGATTTTAAAACATCAGTTCAAAGTGTTGGTGTAGCTAATGCTGGTAGTGTCAAGGTTTGCCAACACACAGAGTTTCGATTACTGAAGTCGGTAAAATTTGACTGGGTTTTTAAACAGCTGAGTTTTCATTAATCATCCCCGCAGTTTTTACTTTTACTGAAAACTCCGTAAATCGCAGAATCTCTGAATTGTCAAAAATTACCGTTTAAAACGCTGGCCAGACTGAGGAGTTATAACATGTTATAACGGTTGTCAACTAATTGCAACACAGAAACCACCATAAAGATAGCGCTATAACATGTTATAACACTGTATTCTGAACGTACTATAAGCACAAACGAAGTGACAGACGACTAACTGGCGAAGAAATCAATTAAAATAATGTGGTTCGCTGTAATAGAATTTTCTTAGAAGCTTTTGCCAGCATCCACCAGATGGGACAGTATTTTTGTTTTGATTTGAACATAGTTGGTTTTGTGTGCAGTATGATCTTTGACAGTGTGCAAAGAGTGTATCATTTTGTCATTTTTTTATGCATTTCAGTTTAGAGTAGAGTGAAAGAGATAGAACCAAAACATTCTAGTACAATCCATTAGTAGTGTTGCCATGTGGTACAATTCAGTAGTAGTGGTGTTGCCATGTGGTAGACTGAAAAATTGCAATAGCAGGTGCGTCACCAAAGTTTTCGAGCTGCTCCGTCTGTCACTTCGTTTGTGCTATAAGTCAGTAATGAATTTACCAACACATTGAATATTTCGCACTTTAAAACATCGTCGCTAAAACATTACCGCCATCTGTTGAGACACTGTGGTGGGTAGTACCATAGAGGTAACTCTAAGACTAGTAGGTCCCGAAGAAACGTGCTCAACTTTTTGGCTCAGCTCTGGTACCATCTTCGGTCCCAAGCTAATCGATTCACCCCTCGAAACATAGGAAAAACGAATAACCCCTCATTTCATCTGTCAAACTTTCACAGCGAATCAAAACAAACATTGTGTAGTACTAGAATTTTGACTAGAATGGGGTACGTTAATCGATTTGCTTGGGACCAATAGGCTAGTCAAGTAGTGAGCCAATTTAAAATCGTTAGTTTCGTATTGATTGTTGGTAGTACGCTGAACAGATGGCGGTAGTGTGTAAACGTCAAACGCAAGGGAATTGACTATGCGCGCCATAAGTAGGATTTAATTGATTCAACTATTTTTTAGGATTTTTATTTATGAAAGAGGATAAAAGTTTATCGCTTCCTGGTGATTCGGTGTGTCCATGTATGGAGCTCTACAACAGGCAATGTTAGTGGATGTTTTTGCTTAAAAATCAGTAAATTATCTGGAAGTCCATAAACTACCCGATTCCATGGCATGCTCAGCACTCCTGCATTGGTTTCCAGATGTTTCACTTATGTTCACCTTGAATTTCACAAAGGTTTTCCCGAGGGTTTTTTTACTGGCACACAGAGATTTCCGAGGAAAAGTGCGTGAGGTGAAATGAAGGAGGATGACGCAAGGAAGTTGACCTACTGGTGAGATCAGCAATTTTGGAATATCATTTGATGACTGTTCAGTAAAACATAATGAATACTGAAAACTCGGTACTCTATTTTACTAAGTTTAAGTCATTCACCGTAAATCTGTTATTTTACGGAAAATTCAGTACTTGCTATAACCCTAAGAGAAGAGGTGACAATACGGGGGCGAAAATGAACCACTTTTCTGTCAAACGTGAACCAGCTCCTGATTGGCCGATTTCATGTGTGTAAGATAGAGATAGAGATAGATAAAGCTAGAGATAGAGATAGAAATAAAAGAGGAAGAAGCCAATTGTCACCTCTTCCTCTTAGCTATAACCGTATTCAGTAGTT